CCTCTTATGTTTATCTTATGTTTTGCTCGTCGTCCGTGTTCGTAAAGGAGAAACGGCGGGCGGCCGCGACGGATTTCAAAAAGTCTTTCATTTTCTAAAATCGACACACTAATGAGAAGCATTACTAGGGCGTTTAGGCTGGAATACAACTAACATGCAATTAGTCGAACCGGTTTAAAAGTTTCTTTTTTTTTTTTTTTTCGCTTCGTCCACTACCAGCTAAGAATCTGTGTAATCTACGATGTTTTTTAACCACTACGACTTTATTTATTTAATTATTTAATCGTTTCCCGTTTAATATAATTCTAAACTCGAAAAATACTATTTAATTCATTCGTTAGCTTAGTTCTCGAGAAAAAGTTAGTTAATTATTTCGTCGTTACGTGTTTTTTTTTCACTTTTTTTCTTCTTATTCTTCTTCTTTTTCTTTTTCTTCATCTTCTTCTCATCCACTCCCATCTGTTTGTTTAAACGTCGAGGCTATCAATGTCGAACGCGTTTTATCGTTTTATTCTTTTTTTTTTATTATTATTCCTATTATTCCGTTTTGTTCTGCTAGTTGCTCGTTTATCTAGAAGTTCCAAGTTTGAAAACACGGCATATGTGTATTTTTGTGTATGTATGTATGTATGTGTGTGTGTATGTATATATTTTGAACAATCTTCTCTCTGCTACATTATTAAAAATCAAACAGGTATCTTTTCAGTAAGCAATCTCATCTTTTTCATTTTTTTCTTTTTCTTTTTTTAAACAATCTGAGAGGAAAATCGTTCATTTTTTTTCGCAGGATAAACGGATATTCTAAACAAAAAAATAATTCTCTCGAAGAATCTTGCATTGACATATATTTTTATCGCGTGTAAACACGAGATGTGACTGTTCGAATGTGTATGCACGTGTTTGTATATTTGTAATATGTATATTTTACAAGTGTATAATTTGTAAAAATCCAGGTTTATTTCCATCCTAGGTACGTTTCGTGAATCGCGTTCAACACCGTACGTTCTCTTCTTCTCTTCCATTCCATTCGTCTGGATCTTTCCATCTATCCTCCCGGGAAACAATCCGCGCAAACGACAACGTTACACGTTGAAGAAACGACATCTTTCACCTCTGCAGAGAAATATGGATTTCATCGTTTTCCATTCCCCGTCGAGTAAAACAAACACCCATTTACTTATGTCGAGCATAAGTACTTCATTTCCTCTCTCCACTATTTTTTCCCTCCTCCTTTTCCAACAACAGTCGTTTTCTTTTCTTTTTTCTTTTTTCTTTCAACTTTCAACGCTTTTCTTTCCTCCCTTTCCCTCTTCGCGTCCACGGTCATCAAATATCATGGATCGAAACTTTGCTAAAAAAAAAAAAAAAACTGCGACTTTTTCATCCAGACACTTTTTCATCTGTCCTTCCGGTTATGTCTCCCTAGGGATAAGTTAATTTACGTATTTCGTAATTAGCCCGCTTACCGTATAGAATAAAAGTCAAAAATATATCATCATTATATGTATATATATGTATATATATATATATATATATATATTCTTCGTTCTGTAATCTACCATCTATATTTAATTTACTCTAATGTACTCGAGAAGCGTGTACGCGCGACGCCATTTTTATTCCTCTCTCGTATCAATCATGGATTGAACGCGCACCTTCTATGTGCACGTTCGAATCCACGTAGAACTAAAGCCTGTCATGCGATGTCACCTTATATTCGTGTATTAACGGTTAGAACAAAATTCCCCTCGAGTGTTGCGCCATCTTTCCTTCACTCTCGTCTATTAACGGACAAGCTTGTCCTTGATGTGGACGGTCTGTAGTATGTATTATATTTTCGGTATGTATATCGTTTGTTTACTCTCTTTCTCTCTCTCTCTTTACTTATCTGATTTTATACCTTTTTTCTCTCTTTTTCTCTTTCTCTCTGTTCACTCGATATATCCGACATGTGCACACGCTCTATCGACCCGATCCATACATCTCTCTCTCTCTGTCTGTTTCTCTCTCTCTCTCTCTCTCTCTCTCTCTCTCCATTATTTTTCCACGGATTCCTTTTCAATCGGCAATCCACTTCTCGATACGGGCTAATGGGAATGATACTCCATTCGCGTTCCACGAGCCGTGGACGGGTTATCCGACGGCAAATCCGATCGGACGGACGTCCGTGTCGACAATTTCGGATTGGGATGGCGACGGTAGTCCAGTCGACGGTAGACAATCCGATTAAACGCGCGGCGAAAATATCCGTACGAATTCCCGGATTCGCACGCGTTTCGAATTTTTTTCGCCATTTCTGTTCGCTGTTTTCCATTTCTCTGCAGAGGGTGTCCTTCTTTTCTTTTTTCTCTCTCTCTCTCTCTCTTTCTCGTCCACGCGTTTTCCATTTCCTCTCGTCGTTTCCTGCCGTCCATTCATTAACATCATCATTATCATCATCATCAGCATCTTCGTTATCCTTCTTCATCGGTTTTTCGCTTCCTTCGGTTCCTTGTTGTTGTTATTGTTGTTGTTGTTGTTGTTGTTGTTGTTGCTTTCTATTGTTTATTGGATTTCTGGTTCGTTGGTTTTCTCGGCAGAGTCAAAAATGCGCGCAAGAAGCTAAATAGGTGGGTACACGCGAGCGATATGTTGCAGCAGCTAATTGAATGATGGGACGCGGTGAGAGATGAGCAACTGTGGCGAGTGATAATTTTTTCGAGAATTGAAATTTGGGAAAAAAACCAAAAGAAAGTTTCGCGAAAAAATAATCTATATGAAGTTATAAAATAAAAGTACGATTAATGCAAATTGAATAAATTGCATGACTCTAAACGTTAATCTAAATCTAAGTAAAAAAAAAAAAAAAAATTAATGTTCAAATTAAATTAAAAACTTCGCGCAAACTGAGATATAATTGATCAGACGATTCGACAATTTTTTTTTTTCTTTAACTCTAAAATAATCCTAAACAATCTGCTAAATAATAATTTGCAGCCGAATGAATATGAATAAATTTCATTCGTATGGAAAAAGAAGAATATCGATTATTAAAATTTAACGCTGTCCACAGTTGTTCGACACTCACGTTACCCATGCGAACCAGGGTATATTCGTTAGCCACGCGAAGCAGCATTCTTTGTTTCATTTAAAGCGACAGCGTATACAAATCGTCCTATGAACCCGTCATCGCCGGGCAAAACATTGGACAAATCGTCGATTCCTACTGGATATAGATAATAAAAAGAATCGTTGTGTTGCCTCTGGCGACACAGCGTTCAGCGCGAGCAGATTCCTTGCGTTAGTATTATTATTATTGTTATTATTATTATTATTATTATTTTTATTTTTATTATTATTATTATTATTATTATTATTATTATTATTTTTAATACGAATATAATTTAATTGTTTAATGTTATCGCTTTGTGATTGATTGATTGCTTGCTGCAGCAGCTAAAACCCTTGACTCAAGTTGGGAAGCTTGAAACTCCGGTGTGAATTTT